GAAAAAAAAAAAAAAAAGCTTCAAGTATGACTGAGAAAACATGAATGGAAATTTCCAAGGCGGGATGCTACAGGGTGTGTGTTCCTTTCTCACTTCTCAGAGACTTGATTCAGGGCTTGTTCTTTGTTGCTGCTGCTCACAGTCCGACCAGCCTGGATACACTGCAACCAAACAAATAACCGGAAAAAAAAAAGGCGGGGGGGAAAAAGTGTTTCTTCCCCCCTCGGTCCCCACCTCCCCCCCAAAAAAATATAAAAAGCAATAAGTTTACAAAAATAGAAAATAATTACAGCAATAGGCAGGAGGGGGGAGGGGATACGAAGGGTCCCTGGGGTCTATTTGGCCGAGCAGTGTAATATCGTGGGTTTGTTTAAAGCGTCCTCCACCAGGTGCAGTTCTTGGCGGTCGACTATCACGTCCCGTATGCAGCCGGTGAAGCCAGTGCTGTAGGCTTTGGGCAGCTTGTGAGCCACGTTGAGCTTCTCCATTCCCCCTGCAAGAGACGGGACAGGTCAGAGCGGGGGGGCGAAGGATGGGGCTCTGGTCTGTCTAGATGGGCAGTGGCCCTGTTTCGCAGACGTGGGGTTTCCGGCCCCGTGCTAATTCTGCCCCCCATCTCGCCCTGTCGGCGCCGGGTTAGACTACAGAGGGCTGCGACACTGCTTAGGCGGGCTGGTCGCCGGGATGGCGTTATGCGATGGCTGCATGAGAGTTTCCAAGTGTCGGTGTCCTCACGTTTTGGGGTTTCTGTGTCCTGGATGCTTGATGAAGGAGTCTGATTAAACTGAGACCTTTTTGGAGGCGAAGGCCCAAGTTAACACGCCTGCGTATCTCCACGCCCACGATAACCCCGTTGACGCTAATGAGACGACACATAGCTCTATGCCTCGAGGACTGTGGACTCAAATGCTCCTCTGGGAAAGGGTGAGAAGTGCCCAGAGTCCTACCTTTTTTCCCAGTCCAGAAACCCCTCACATTTATGTCCCACAGCAGGAAACATAAGGACATGCATCCTGACACGGGCTCGGGTAAGAGGGAAATAGTTCGCAGTATGTGAAACCTGGGTCTGATTCTCTGTCTGGGTTGTTGCAGAAAAAGCCACTGTGACAAGGCCTGCCAAGCTCCAGGCATGGCTGCTTCTGGCATCTGGGATGCCAACCTCCTCCTGCGGTCCTTACCACGCGGGTGCCCTGGATCCTGAACGAGGCACATGGGTCTTTTTAACCCAGACAGGGTCACCGGCATGGTGAGGTCCTAGCCAGGGCTGCCTGGGAGGTTGTGGTCAAGCTGAGGGCAGAGCTCTGCTTTTCTGAGGCACGTGTTACCCACAAAACCATGGTGCCTCCCTACGTACAGCTTCAACTGCTGCACAAGCACAGGCCGGCTGGGAAAGGAAACCAAGCCCCTTTGTTGAGTGCTTGACAGCAGTGCGTGGCTGGCAGCGCGCTCTCTGAGACTGTCCTTCACTGCTTGCAGCCAAGAGCCCCTTGGGTGCACTTCTGGCCTGCTAGGTGCATACGAGAGAAAATGAGGGTTGGAAGGGACCGCAGGAGGTCATCTAATCCAACCCCCTGCTCCAAGCAGGACCAGCCCCAAATACATCATCCAAGGCTTTGTCTAGCTGGGTCTTAAAAACCTCCAAGGATGGAGATCCCACAGTCTCTAGGTAGCCTGTTCCAGTGCTTTACTACCCCCCTACTGAGAGAGTTTTCCCTAATATCTAACCTTGCTGCAACTTGAGCCCATTGCTCCTTGCTCTGTCATCTGCCACCCCTAGAACAGTCCAGCTCCATCCTCTTTGCACCCTACTCCAGGTAGCTGAAGGCTGCTATTAAATCCCCTCTCAGTCTTCTCTTCTCCAAACTAAATAAGCCCAGTTCCCTCAGCCTCGCGTCATCAGTCATGTGCCCCAGCCCCCTCATCATTTTTGTTGCCCTCCACTGGACTCTCTCCAATGTGTCCACATCCTTTCTGTACTGGAGGGCTCAAAACTGGACGCAGTACTCCAGATGTGGCCTCACCAGTGCCAAATAGAGGGGAATAATCACTTCCCTCGATCTGCTGGCAACACTTCTACTAATGCAGCCCAATACGCCGTTAGCCTTCTTTGCAACACAGACACACTTGGCTCATATTCAGCTTATCGTCCTCTGAAGCCCCCGGGTCCTTTTCTGCAGAGCTGCTGCTTACCTAGTCGGTCCCCAGCCTGTACCGGTGTATGACATTTGTTCCGTCCTAAACTCAGGGCTTTATGCTTCTCCTTATTGAACCTCATGAGATTTATTACTATCATGATATATCTTTGCAAAGAGGCGAGAATTGCGTATCTCAATCCCTTGGGGGAATGTAAATCCCTTAGGCATGATGTTTCTTTTTCCTTCCCAGGTCCCACTTACCCAGCCAGAGGGCCCCGTCCGTGTCTAGCTGTGTTGCTCCAAGCGGGGATGAACCAGTGATGGGGGCTTCATTGCCCACCTGCAAGGAGCCCTCTCTCTGCACTCTGTTCTCGGCAGAAAGAGAGGAAGGGAGAACAGAGCAGATTAATGCACCCAGCAAAGAGCCCTGGGATGGGCCTGGAGCAGAGCCGTGCTTTACACCGACTACAGAAGCTGCCCAGGGGGTCTACCGATGAGCATCAGCCCCCCACTGCCCTGCTCCACCTTAAAGCACCTTGCTCCTGGCCTCTCTTCTGGGCGTTGACACACTGCAGGGATCCATGCCAGCGGCCACTGCTTCCTCCTGCTCCCTCTGGACTCATCAGCAGAAACCACTGGCATCCCAGCCACGCGAGGAGCTCACCACTCCCCGCTCCACCAAGATAAATAAAAACCACCCAGGCGGGGGACGGCGCGGGCCCAGCGCAAGCAGAATGTCAAGCTCTTGGGCGGCCCAAAGAAAGGGCACAGACTGTCAGCACCTCCTGGGGCCTGCCCCTTTGACATACCCTGGCACCGGGGGCAGACAAGTCGAGGCACACGCTCTCCAACGCTGCATTGCCCAAATGCCACTCCTCTATTATTATCTGCAGGGCTCAGTGACCCTCAGGGACCAGGGGGGTGGGTGGGGAGGGGGCACAGATCCAGGGCCGTGACTCAGATGCCCTAGACTTGACCCTAGCCTGCATCTTGAAAGCACTGAGTGAGATGTCTGCGAGGCCGTTCAGCCCGGTCCCCTCTCGAGCTGCCTCACCTGTAAGCTTTGATATGAACCCACTGGTTCGTGTTGACCGGGACGGTGGAACGCAGGACGACCGGCTTGGAGCCGAGGTCGTAGGTCATTTGCACGTGGCCGTTCACGACGGCCAGGGCGATGTAGTCTGAGCGCTCCAGCCCCTTCCCGCTCCACAGGATCAAGCCTTGGGTGGCCTCCGTCTTGATGCTCAGCTCGAAGTGGTTGGATTGCAAGGCCTTCTCACTGCGTCGGGGTGGGAGAACATAGGCCAGAGTTAGAAGGGGTGTAGCGGGGGCAGGAAGCTGCCTCCTGAGCGGACAGTGGGGCAGGCAGACCCTTGGAGCAGCAGGGTTGGTGGGCTAGCCCTTCAATGCAGATTGAGGACCCTCCTGCCTCCCCAGGGCTGTGCAGCTGAGAGGCGTGGGCTGAGCCAAGCCATGGGGCAGAACAGGGTTCACAGGTATTGTGGCCCAATGGTCCGCAGGCCCCAGAGGACAGTGGGGAGGGGGCTGGGGACAGGGCCCCATTCTGCAAAAGGATGGTGCTGCAAGTAAAGCAGGCTTTGAGACGGGGGTGGTTTGGTACAAAGGGAGCTCTGCAGGCCAGGCTAGGAGGAGTCCGTGGGTTTGCCCTCTGTCTGGTCTCCCCCAAAGTGCCAGGCTCCTTCCCTGCATGGCTCATCTGTGCCAGGATCTCAGCAAGGAGCAGCTCCAGCTTGCAGGGGGCTGGAGCATGGAGCGCAACCCCCTGCAGCTAGGCTGCCTTCCCACCCCTCTCACAGGGCGCCAAGGGTGACGGATGCAGACACAGAGCTTCTTCATAGCAGCACCCACACCCTGGCCCCACAGCCTAACCCCGTCTGGGAACGGAGACCCCGAGCTGAACGCTCCCGCTTGGCTTGGCTCTAGCAAGGCAGCCGAGGCCTCCTCCTCCTGGAAAGCAGACATCAGGGGGGACACCCAAAGGGACCTCCCTGCCCCCCTGACCCTGCATCTCAGCCGCTCTCAGGA